AAACGTTGATGTCGTCGCTCGTGTGTTCAGGTGCATGATCGTAAGGTGCGGAGAGGGTGGAGATCATCCAATCAGTCTGATAATTCAGTGTCATGGGAAAATTATGTAGTGTCATGCGCTTAGTAGGCTACGAAGGCCTTTCGACCATTGCAGAACATCATTGCAACATGTGTCCACGCATTTTCAAGAATATAATTAGCGATGGCCAGCATAAACAGGGAAAGCTTTTGTGACCAGTATTTTCCACACAATTCAAACTAAGGCGCCCGCGCACGTTTTATCTCCCGCTTTGTAAGAACAATAGCTAGCTTTAAGAATTTTAAGTTTTTAAATGACTTCATGTCAACAGTCTGATAAGTCTTATTAGATCATAATTGTTCTAAATGGTAGCTTAGATGATACTTTTTTAACTTGACTTTATTTGTTAAACGTATTTGCCTTCATGATTATTGTACATAATTTTGTGTAAAATAATTGCATTTATTTGTATTTAACTCTAGCGGAAGGGAGGGAGGATTGGCACTAGTTTCTTTCTAGGTCATGCGTTCTACGCAGCTTTTTGCTATGTGCTTGTACCTATCGTAGCTTCGCTGAACACACGTTTATTTCTCAGAATAGTTTCTTACGGTGTGTTGTTGTCGTTGCTTACAAAATGGCGACTAGAAAGAGCAGCAGGAGAACGAAACCTCCGATAAAACTAAAAGATTTCGTCGCGGATGATTTTGTAGCAGAATCCACAACATCTCAACAGATGAGCGTAGCAGTCAAATGCGAACTGAGTAAGGTTGAGTCTTTGATAAAAGACCTTACTACAACAAGTTTTAAGGAAAAACAACCCACTGTAAACGACAGAGCGACCAAAGATTTTCGAAACCGCGATTTACAGCTTGAACTGGACCTTATTACTCGCACCAAACTCGGGCTGTTGCAGCTACAGCGAGAGTCCACGCAACTAAGTGCTTCGAAGATGGTCTCGGCGACCACTACAACAACACCTGATGATAATTTGGTCGCAAAAACAACCTTGAAAAGTCTCCAGCAAGACCTAGTTGTCCAATCCGAGCGCAAATCTCTCATGGATTCCTTAGGAGACCCCATCTTACTGGGTTTAACCGAAGAGGAACAAGACCCAGCGCAACCGCTGTTAAAGCCCTTTGCTTTAACACTTAGCACTACACGGGGTTAAGGAGACCGTGCTTGGAACCTCTGGTGATGCTAGAATTGTATTAAAAACCGCTCAGGATAAGAAACTCTCTCTTGAAAAAACGTCATTCTCTCAATGGTCAGCGGCTAACTCTCGTATGTGGTGAAAGTTAACCTATTCATGCAGAGCCCTTCTCAGAATTTAAGCAGCAGCCCCAAGCAGCCAAGGTCTCCACAGACTTAGTTTGTGAGACCTAGGCAACAGAACTAAACAATGACCCGGACATGGACTTTATCTTGGATGGTGTTAAGCTCCTTTCTCCTGATTCAATGGTTTCACATGCCTTTACACATGCCTGGAGCTAAAAATCAAATTGAAGCGCAATTAGTCAAAGGTCTCCGAGAAGATCACTTTGCTATAGCACACAAGGCCAACATGCTCATTATCATTGACGCCCTTGAAGCTGTACCAAAAAAGGACTCCAATGAATTACGAATGATCATGGATTGTAGCCGACCCTTAATGATGAATTCTAACTCATGTATGGATTTAGAACACTACAAGTATGGTATGTTACTGTTGATGATGCAACAAATCTCTGTCAACCTGGTTGTTGGTTAGCAAAAGTTGACTTAAAGCATGCATACAGAAGCGTTGGCACACACCCCGACGGCTGGCAAGATACAGGAATGTCGTACCTCTATGATAAGCGTCCCCCATTTGGAGCCGGGGCCTCACCAACAGTGTTTCATCGCCTCGCACAAGCGATTAGTCGTATGATGGCACGGAGAGGGTATACTGTGCTGGCATATCTCGATGACGTCCTTATCATCGAACCAACCCAACGTCTGTGCAAAGTAACTTTTGACACCCTGTCTCTCGGCTTCACTGTCAACTGGTCCAAAGTTGTCTACACTGCCCAATGTCTGATTTTTCTTGGATTTGAAATCGACACTGTTCAGTTTGAGCTCCGTCTCTCAGACGATCGGGTGTCTGAGTTATCCCTTCTCAAGGTAACAAGCTCAAAACGCATATTTACGAAGCTTCACCTACAACGACTCCTTTGCAAGCTTAATTTGGCAGCACGAGTTGTTCGAGGGGGCGCGCATTTCTGAGGCGTCTTATTACCTTGGCAAAAACGGTTAAATGCCCTTACCATGACCTCTATCCAAACATAGGTAGGCAGGTAGGTAGCAACTTTATTTAATGAGGGTAACACATGACAGTAAACAGTGATGAGCTAGTGGCCCTCAGTCGTAAATAAAATATTCAGAACTAATAAAAATAGACTCGACGAATTGAAATTTAAAAACACTACAAGATATAAATGCAAGAGCCGACCTCATGTGGTGGATCTGCCTCTTACCAGCACACAACTGTAAAACTTTGTTCCCCTCAGCCATCCCAGAACTTCCTACAGCGGTGCTTACTGATGCCTCCCTGTTTGGCGGAGGGCGCTTATTGACAATAGACTGGATGTAGGCCAACTGGGCCTTGGATTACCCATCTCTTTACTGTCTCCATATCATTTAGAAGGAGACATTTACCACTGTTTTAGCTGCACACCGTTGGGCACCTTTCTAGTCAGGTCATCGAGTAATAATCAAGACAGACAGTCAGGTGGATGCAGCCATTCTAAACAAAGAGTCAACCTGTTGTCCGGTGATCATGGACTGGATTCGTTCACTGTTTTGGCTTATTAAGGAGTATTGCAACTTCAGTTTGCTCGTCAAGCATATCCCAGGAGCAACCAACATCCTACCTGGATCAAATGACTTCGAATCTTACATGTCCCCCTTGTCTCTTGCTCTCCCTAGATCCAAGGGATTAGCGGCAACTTGACCGTGAAGCCACCAATTTCTGGCGCCGAGCATATGTACCTACTACCAGGTCCACCTACGTGATTCAAATGCATTCATACCTATCCTTTTGAGTATACTACGGTTACCAGCCTCTCCCAAGAGCAGCATTAACCCTTACTCGCTTGCCGATTTTTTGGCATGGTAACTCTCAGCAACCTCCATCCCAGCTTATTTAAATGCGATTCGCATTCTACACCTTGAACATGGCCTGACTGACCCAACCAAAAACAATTCCCAGTTGGCAACTACACTTCGAGGAAACAAGCGTGTAAAACGTTTAACAGTGTCCCAAACGAAACCGATTACACCCCATTTCCTATTAGCCTTCAAGAGTCACGTAAATTTGGACAAACCTTTGAATGCAACTTTCTGGGCAGTTTGTCTAGTAACGCTCTTTGGCCTCACGCGTAGGTAGGTATGTAGGTAGATTCTTTATTCAAAACTCGGTAAAAATCTTCAGTAATAATAGAGTAAAAGTCTAATTACAATTAATTAGACTAAAAACTATCGACATACTGTTTTACAAGACTGCCGAGTGAGAGTCCGACGACTCAAAAAGATGATTGATTTGCTCTTTAAATTTCCTGATTGATTTAATTTCTCTCACATTTTCGGGTAAAGAGTTCCACAACAAAGCACCGCTGTAACTGAAACTTCGTTTCAAGTAGTTAGTACGCGGCCTGGGCAACGTCAATTTATGAAAGGAGTTGCGCAAATCATAGCCTGTGCTTCGTTCGTGAAATAGGTTCTGCAAGTACACTGGAGCTTGTTCATTTAGAGATTTAAACATCATTATTGCTATATGCTTCTTTCTCCTTATAACTTATTTGTCCCATTTGAGTATATCAAGAAGCAGGCTCGAGCTAGTCCCATAGCTGGCCTTTAAAATTACTCTAGCTGCACGGTTCTGTAACTTTTGTAATTTGTCACTCAGTTGATCACTTAAGCCATCCCAAACGAGGCTACAGTAATCAAAGTGAGGTTGAATTAAGGAGTTATAGACTAGTACCGCAGTACATTGGGAGATAAGGGGCCTGATACGTCTAAGGGCACCTATAGCCGGAGTTACCTTCTTACACAATTCGTTAACATGATTAGACCAGGAAAGCCGATTGTCGATAACGAGACCTAATGATTTTGCGTGATCAACATTGCTGATAACTTGGTCTTCTAGTTTGATGTTTATTTCGTTATGGCTTTCCGCAAGAAGCTTCTGGCGAGAGCCAATAACCATAAACTCAGTTTTCGCAACATTAAGACTAAGCTTATTAGCTTTTAGCCAACAGTGAAGGTTCAGTAGTTCTAAGTTAGTCTCTTGTTCAAGGTCAGCTAGAATACTAACTAGACAAGAGGAAGGGAAGAAAAGCCGATTCAGCGCTTCTTTCAGGTAACATTTGGCAAAACTGGAGACCCGCACTGCTCGTAGTGGGGGGGAGCGTTGCTCGACGACACTAAAAACGGCTGTGTAGCAGACTACAATTCTCGAAGGTTTGATGCAAATGAGTCCAACGACGCTCAATTCGACAATTCGTCCCATGATACCTTGCGACCGTGTCAAACCTCCTCTTGACTTTCCGTAAAATAAATCGTCTTGCTCGATAAGTAGTTTTCCGTCTCAATGTGAACTGTAAAACATTTTATGTTATTCTGAGCGGCCTTTTTACATTTTTCTTAATATTAAGATAACAACCTTAGAAAACTACGAGGTACAAAAAAAAGCGCGCAATATTCACGCATACTTATTTAAGCGCGCGCGAGCTTTCGTGTCAACAAGTAAAGCCATTCCCGAAAAATGCTGATCGTGATTATTCGGAAAACTGTGATTGAAACAGGGCTTTCATAATAAACACTCGCCGGACAGTCTCACGTATCAGTAATTCCATATTAGGAAGTAATAATAATAATAATGATAATGATAATAATAATTATAATCATAATAGATGTTATTTAGCCAGGGTGGCCTCTTCAGTATAAAATGCTGATATCAAGTACATTTTGATTGGTTGTCCAAAAACACCCAGCATTTAAACAGAGCTACACGCTTCAGGGCTATATGCTTCTGGTTTTTAATATACATTTTAAAAAAGATCACGTCACTATGAGACTAAAGTACGTTTATCGTTTTTTAAAACGAAAATAAAATATTCTCGATCCGCCTACGCAAAGATTACACTGAATGTACGTACACTACTTGTACCTTTCTCCCTCCAAAGTATTGTTTTGTCCGACGCTAGTCCTAGTATCTTTGCCGCTGTCACAAGTGCGAGGCATCGGCTGGCGAAACTTCAATGTTCTTTTGGCAGGAATATCACTGGGTGTTGGACGACGCAACCCACTCGTTGGAAACCGCTCTTTTGACAGATGAACACAAAATTCTCCTGAAAAGAACAGATTTGCGGTATATCGTTAGGAATCGGCCGTAGGTTTTTTACTTGCAAGTCATAAAAAATTTACTAAAATTTCAAAGCAGTTGAACAGATTTTGAATTCAAAACAACTACACAACGTTTGAGTTTAGAAAACATACTTCGAATACTTCTGATCAGTTACAGTAATCTTATAAGCAGGACTTAAGTTTGCTCTTACACTTGGTACTTAAAGTTCCAAGTGTAATTTTCTTAGTTTGAGACGCAGATCTCCAGTATACAGAAACATTCTTAAGTCAGAAGGGATGGACATTATTTGCCTTTAAAACGAAAAGATCACTATGAATATAATCTACCATAATCTACGGGAAATCATGCTGCTCATGAAAGAGTGTCAATTTAGAGACAAGAACACTTCTTGAAGCATGTGTAAGATGATCAACGTATGACACTTCCTTCAGGCCTGGTTACCCATTGAGCAACAAACGAGAATTAAAATGCGCTGTTTTCAGTACATACGGAATATGGTTAAAGGGGGTGGGAAAAAAACATTAGATGACGATGAGGGTTAATCTACGTAATCTAGTATACAGTAACCAAAAGATCCGATAAAAGGTGTTTACGTGACTTCGTATACAGTAGACATCTTAAGCCGGTACATCGCTAATGTCTGCATAGCAGAGAACACTGCATCACCATAAAAGTATGTCTTCAAATTAATTTTTACGAATTTTTCCCGGGAGTACACGGCCGCCAAGGCGAAGACGTTTTCCGGATGGACACTAATGGTATATTGACCTGAATCTTTGCGAGGA